TGCACTCGCGCCCCCAAACTGCGCGCACACTTTTGCGGCGACGGGACTTGAACCTTGAACCGGCATGCTAAATACCAGGCCACGACCGACGTAGTTTAACACCGACTGATCATTAGAATCCATGTAGCTGGCATAAACTTGCATATTTTAACTTGTAAACATCGCCATCATGGGGAATCGAACCCCGGAGTTTAGCGTTGTACGTTCGTAAAGGTACAGCGGACCCGCCGGAGGACACTGGTTAGAGGAGAAACTCGCTCTCTTTATCAATGGTTTTTTTATCTTAGTACGAAGTAATTGTTTAAAATAACGTTCAGTTAAGTCATTATTGACCAGTCAATAATGTACTTTTTTTTTGTATTTCTGAAAACTTCATTTTATCTTTGCTTATGAATATATTTATTTTAATATTTGGGCCGGGCGTGGCCTAGCGGGTAGCGTGCTACACTGTGGATCCGAGAGTTCATTATTTGCGTCCCGTTATCGCAGGAAAACGATTCGCTCTCCGCAGTTTCTGGTAGTGGGTGATAAGAGTGACGGTCAAATCTGCAATTCGATTAGAGTAGCTCAAGAGCCGTCTGTGGATGCTGTTGACAAGCCCCCTTCCCTCTACTCTTTCAAAATTAGTGACAGATTTTGTGCGAATATACAATAACAAGCTTAATTGTCATCCAAGCACCGAATCTTATTTTTATTTATTTGTTTTTAATTTCGCGCAAAGCTACCCGAGGGCTATCTTCGCTAACCGTCCCTAATTTAGCAGTATAAGACTAGAGGGAAGGCAGCTAGTTATCACCACCCACTGCCAACTCTTGGGCTATTCTTTTACCAACGAATAGTGGGATTGACCATCACATTATAACGCCTTCACGGCTGAAAGGGCGAGCATGTTTGGTGGGACGGGGATTCGAACCCGCGACCCTCAGATAGCGAATCGAGCGCCCTAACCATGTCGGGCCACTTAATTCTATAACGAAAAATGTAATAATTGTACCACACTATATGCATTTGATTTGTTATTATTTTTTCGTCAGAAGGTACAAAGTTGGAAGCTCTATGCCCTGGTGGGATTTCTTTTCTTCTTGGATATCTTGATTCTTATTGTATGGCAGGCCACAGACCCTCCGAAGAGAAAACTGGAACAGTTTCCTCTGGAGGATCCAGAAATTCTGGACGAGGACATCAAGATTCAACCAGAGTTAGAACACTGCGAGTCCGACAACAATGCTATTTGGCTTGGTTTGTTTATCGGTTATTAATATTGGATTTATAATGGATTAATAATGGACAATTTGCTGAAAGGTTTCTTTGTTGGAGATGAAGATTCACGAAAGTGTGTCGAAACGCCACCTCCAACAAAGAAACCTTCCAGCTGGTTATTTATCAGCTACTAATATTTGTAATATGGATTTATTGTTTGTTTGTTTGTTTTTTGCAAACCCACATTGGGCTACCTGCCGTGTCCACCGCGGAGAATCGAACCCCGGATTTTAGCGTTGTATGTCCCTAGACTTGCCACTGTCCCACCAGGAGACACGTAGATTAATACTGGACGACTTTCTGAAGGGTTTCTTTGTCGGAGCCGAAAATCCACGAAAGTGTGTCGAAACGCCACCTCCAACAAAGAAACCTTCCAACTGGTTGTCCATTATAAATCCATTCTTCCAAATGATCCACCTGCTACCCAAGTTCTTTTTATACTTGAGTTCAGACTAAAAAGAAGTAATCAAAATTCACAAGATACACTTTGATTTCCAACATATATATATATATATATGTGTGTGTGTGTGTGTGTGTATAAGAACAATTATT